CCCAAAATTAAAAGAATTAAAGACTTTATGAGAGGTGAAAGAGTCATAGCTAGAGCAGTCTCTCTCATCTCTCATCTCTCTCTCATCTCCTCTCCTCTCTCTTCTCTCTCTCTGTCTCCTCATCCCAACTGGTCGAGGCAGACGACCACCACCTAGAGCCGAGGGTCTGTCCTACGGTTTACTGCCTGTTAAAGGCAGTTTTTACCCATTGCCCGTCGCCAATTGCATTGCCAATAGGTGGTACTGTTGAGGTCTCTGTAAATGTTAAAAGGAGTTCGGTCTAGACACTGCTCTATTTGAAAAGTGTCCTGAGATAACTCCTGTTATGAATTGCCATACAAAATTAAATTGGATTGAAATTGAACTTATGTAAATCGTTAAAGCTAGATATTAAAATTGATTAAGCCTCCTAAAGGCTTTTAGTTTAGGACAAGTAGGCTACGTGATTTTCAACAGCCTGCATTCACTACAAGCTGCTAGCCAAATCACCAATCATAAAACTTCAATATAATATCAAATATACATCATATATTTCATATAATGTTTGAGACTATATGAACGGACAAATTGCCTTACTTGAAAGAAAATACAATAATATCCTCCACCCAGCAGAGCGATAATACACTAGCATGAGAAGGCCGCTCGAAACATCCGGTTTAATAACATACATGGAGGGACTGCTCTACGTCCCTGCTCTCGTCCTGCTCTCGTCCACAATAACATGACATGCCACATAACAATGACATTCCAGTTTGCTTTCTACCATTTGCCTGAAATCTATGTGGAATGCAGCAGCTCTGTATATACCCTCCTTTTTCCCGTCCTGCGGCCCTTTGCTGTGTGTCATCCCCCCCCTCTCTGCCCCCCTTTCCTGTCTGTCTTCAGCTGTCACTATGATAAAGGCAATAAAAGCCCCCCAAAAATACTTTAAAGGGTGCTAATCAGCCTGTGGCCTTGAAGGGAGCTTTTTTTACATTTTGAGAAAAACTGTTTATACTATACTATATACTATATTACCCGACAGGGAAGGTCTAATGAATTTTTTTTTTGGAGATTGACTCATTAGAGACTAAAAGTCCAGATATCTCAGCCTCTGTTTTTTTTAGTTTCTTCCTCCTTCTTTTTTAATCTGTCATTTGTAATTCCCCCAACCTTATGGAAGTGCAATACTGATTGCTGGGAGCAGGGCCGCCCAGAGCCCTAGCTGCTAGGGGGGCAATTGTTTTGGACTAAAATAGTCACTGTTACTTTTCAAAATAACAACCTTAACCTTTTATTGATTATTTACTTAGTAAATGTAGCTTGTTTCATAATGAAAATTATATGAGTTATTTTTTTGGTATGCAATGTCAAAGGCTGCGTTCACACTGCGAGCCTAAGCTTCTTAATTCTGACTTATTACCCAGATCTGGTTTGTTTTGTTTGGCTGTTCACTGGTTATGAAGCTCACTGGCTGTTAAATTTGGCCAATCAGATTCCAGTGTGAACAGGTCACAGTCCTGAAGTGACCCGCATGAAGAATGTCAGTTTAGAGTGAGGGAAGAGTTGTGAATTCTGATACAACTGTTCACACTGAGGTCACGTTGCAAAGAATCAGACCTGTATCTGATTTGGACCACATATGAAAGTGTCTTGATTCAGAATTGAAACAATCAGATTACATGTGATTTGTGCTGTTCACACTGTGATGAAAAAAAAAAAACTGTCACATATTAGCAAAACAAAAAAAACTCACATTGGCCTGCAGTCTGAATGCGGCCAATAATGCAACACAGGCAGCCGACTAGATGAGCTGAGAAATGTACTGATCTAAACTAACTACTAGCTAATGTTGGAGTGAAAGTCCTTGCTATGCCAGGACCTGCACATAAATCATGATGCTAGAAAAGAAAGAAGAAGAAAAAGAGCGAGATGTCAAGGCTTTAGGGCCGAATAATAATGAAACCACCACCACCTGTGTGTATCATGGATGTATTAAGGAGAACTGGATATAGCATTTGGGACAGGCTCTGTTCATTTCTATGGAAGCTGGCCTATGAAGCCAGCTTCCAGGAACAGAGCCTATCTGCACGTGCTTCCGTATTGTGAGGCCTATAGAGGATGTGCACTAGATACTTTCGCCTGCTGAGCTGCTAACTTCCGTTTAGCCCCATTTCTGTGGACAGGCCTTCCTTGGAGTGTCCTTTAAGGCTTCCTATTGACTTTTTGGCCAGAAAAGGTGAGAAGTGTAAAATGCCTGTTAGTTGAATTGTAAGAGCTGTGGCTTATTTAGCGAGTAAGGCAGAAAAAAGAGATTGTAATTGAACAATGAAGCAATATCCTGTTGATACTGACAGGATTTGGGCTGCAACTAATGATTATTTTTTTATTACTGGATAACCTGCTGATATCTTTCTCGATCAATTGGTTAATTATTGGTCAAAAAAAAAATGTGTTGTTGTTGTGTCTTGTTTTATCTGACCAACAGTCCACACATGGAAGCAAATAATCAACATTTGAATCTTAACAAGCGACTGAAATGTTATCCCTAGTGAATACTCACTGTTGAAATTTAAACTATTCAGCTGCGTGTAAGTCAATACATAGTCCATAAATGTACTTGAGCTATAAAAGACTGATGCAAAGCAAAAATAGAGAAACTATGTATTGGGTATTGGCCACCCACTCATCAGAACGTTTGTGGGCGATGTCCGCTTCCTATTACTGCATGAGGAAGAATACAGACACAGTGACGAGAGGTTAATAGGTCATCAAACAGCTCAATTTGGGTCTGCAAGCAATTCTGTGAAATTTGCTCATTTCTGTAGCAGGAGTGGGATTTGAGGTGGTGTGGTAGTAAAGTAGACCTACATTAGGGATTTTGGCGTGTTTCTGAATCAGCTGTTTCGATGTATCAGGCAGAACTGAAGCGATTGATTAGTCAACTAGTTCATCATCTGTTCATTATTTCACGTATTCACTGGTCCCAACTTTTTAAATATGAAGATTTACTGTTCTTCTTAGGATCAGGAAAATCAATACATGAATCAATTATAAGGGTAAAGTCAGAGTAAGGGAAGAAATGTGGATGTATATGGCCCTGTGGGACCCAGGCTGAGCTCAAAACGGTGAGATATCACAAGAGCCTATGAATTCTTGGTTTAGGTGGGCCTGTTTTCCAAATCCCATATAAGGTATTAGAGTTGCCATGTTTGGGAGAAAACAAGGCTAGTTCCGTCATCTTGACTGCAATGACCCTGTGGTGAGTGGCAATGACAAGGAATGACAAGTCAAGAGTTCATTTAAGTGAGTTAGTGAATACATTACTCATTACATTACAAAATGTCAGTCTATTACAGGAAATGTATATTTGTGTTTGGCATACTTTTACGTTTCACACGTTTGACAGCTCGAAGCGTAGCAGAGTGCAGAGTCGGGCAGGCAGGAATTCATGCACTACTCCTGCAGGTTGGTCCATATGTTTACTGGACTGATCTCTAACAAGAGTACTTGTATAGGGGTGTTTATTGGCAAGAATCTGACGATACAATTAGATATGTTCTGATACCATTTTTTCCTTCCAAATACAGATTCCAATACCTAAACTTTGGTATTGGCCAATACCGAGTACCAATCGGAGACATGGGTTTTATATATTATTATTATTAGTATTTTTGCACATTACTAAGCCAATGATTGCTATCACTGTTGATGGCCTGGCTTAGGTAAAACCGTTTGTCAGAGTCAGAGTAGGCCAGGCCATGACTTCACTATCCTGGAAAAGAAAAACACATGCACATTTACTCGTTGATATCCGATCCGTGTTTCAGACAGTATCAGCATTGGAACAACTTTAGATATCATACCTGTCATATTACAGGGGTTAGATTCAATACACAGCTATATATTGCGATTGTTAAAAAAATAATAATTTTGGAAAAATTGTCTGCCTGTTGATCCTCTTAAATGTTACCAACTGGACCTTTAAACAACAAAAATAATGATGAAATAATGATGAAATATGATTTCAGCATTGTCATGTGGTAGCCCACACTGATCTCTGGATTCTGTGACTCCTTCAGGCTTAAAGTTCAGTATGATTTATCATGCTGCAGGGGAATCATCATACGTACGGCCATTGCAGGACCCTATAGATGAGTGACAGAAAGATCATTTTACTCTCAGGCTGCTGGCTATGTTTATTGTAAGGTACCAACCTGTTACGTGTTTATTTGACGAGTTAGTGGTTGCTAAGTAATATGATCCTCAGCTTGCACCTGGAACTGTATAACCATGTAGAGACAGTTTGTGGAGAGTTTATACCTCTAAAATCAGTTGCAACACTTGCAGACTCAGCTAAATGAAGGTGATTTGACTTTTCAAAATGTTGTCATCTTAATTTAGACGATGCCTTTCACACCGTCAGCGGTTGTTGGTAGTTGGCGGTCAATGAACGTCACTGTCTCTCCTGTCTCAGCTGCAGAGATGGCTTCTTGGGGGCAGCAGGGAGAGATGACGGAGTACAAGAAGATTCTGATCAAACGGGACATGGAGATGGGCGTGGTCATGACAGTGTTTCGGCAGAAGGCGGAGCGGCTCACTGTGCAGGTCATCATGGAGACCCGGCAGGTGGCATGGACACGCACCGCAGACAAGACCGATGGTGTCTGTAAGTATGTAATGTTTTTTCAAAACACACTGACAACATCTCTTCAACATTAAAACGGCTGGGCTGGTAAGGTTTTGCATAATTAATTGATTGAATTATTATATATATTAATATTATTATTAAAGCTTTTCTATAGGATGGCATTTCTTTCATACACTTTATGTTATATGCATGATGAACATAGTGATGATAAGATCTATCTTAGTTATTGATGACTAAATGTACCCTTCCTAAGTCCCGACCCTTTTGGAAACTCTGTAAACTTCCTCCTTTCCTGTACTTATGCTAGATATGCTATGTGCTAGGCTAATCTAAGTTGAAAAATGTAGTCACATCTTAAGTTAGCTACTGTTAACAATCTACTCTACATCAATCAAGTTTTGCCAACATTAGCTATTAGATGTAACAAGCTAGCTAACGACTGACTGAGCTAATCCTTTTCTAACTTTAGCTAACTTAAGTGACACTATGTAACTTTTATCTTTTCAGTATCTTCAAAATGTGGTTGTGTTACATAACATAGATTAGCCTAGCACATAGCATGTCTAAGTACAAGAAAGGAGAAAGTTTACTGAGGTTCTAAACCGAGACTTGCTCAGCTTATTGAAGCACAGTGTAAAAAGAGGCAGGACTTAGGAAGGGTCAATTTTGTATCTGACTGAACCCACTTGTAGTCCTTTAAAGGAGCCCTGTGGAGTGTTTTGCTCTAGGAATGCTGTAAAGCTTGCAGGCCCCAGGACACTCATGCACATGCATTAACATTGTTACAGTATAAAAGTAGAGTCATTTCCTTCCCCACATTGCTAGTAACAAACCTGTTTGCTCTGCCTCAGTGCCACAGCTGCCCCAACGTAGGATCTTCATAATGTGCATCAACACAATACATGTACAATAGGTGTTTGGCTTTGGCCTGTGGCCCACCACCAAGTGCCAGTTTTGGCCCACCATAGAAAAAAAAGTGGTTTATCTGGTTTGGATTCTATTTGTAAATATTTAGTGTGCATGCTTAAATAACCATGCCATACAAGACACTAACTGTAGAAGTGAAAGCTTAAGTGCTGAAAATGTGTGAAAGTGCAAAAAGAACCATTATACACCTATGAAACTGTTCATTGCTTGTGTTTTGTGATTCTGGCTACAGATGGAATGATGATTTAGAAACAGCAATTTGCCTCCCTCAAAAATAATAACGGGAAGAAATATGTGTGCTGTGTTTCAGTGGACCTGTTTGAGATCAGAGAGGTTCGTCCAGGGAGGAACTCCAAGGACTTTGAGCGCTTTAAAGATGGCAAGGACAAACACGATGAAAACACCTGCTTCACAATTTTCTACGGCTCACTGTTTGTTCTTAACACCCTCAGTCTAGGAGGTGAGGTCTTTATTTATATCTGGTTCTGGCCTTGTGTTCAAATCAGATCACATTTTTAATTAATCTTTGAATTTTCATTTAAAAGTGGATTTCTGTATCCGGCTGTTTTGAAGGCCAACAGCCGTGCCAACAATGCTGAATGAAAACCCTGAGTATGCTGATTTTTCACATTTTTAGTGAAAGAAATAATTCAATATTTTTTTTCTTTCTGTCACACAGAAAGATCAAAAGATTGACATCAATATCTGTGTGGATTAAGGGAGCTAGCCTGAAGAGCAAGCCGTTAGCCTAGCTTAGCATAAAGACTGGATGTAAGGGGAAAAGAGCTACCTTAGCTCTATCAAAAATAGACCTACCAACACCTCGGAAGCTGATGCCTTTACACAATTGTCTTATTTATTTAATCCTTACATAACAACAATCTGTGGTTTTGGAGGCAGTAACATGTTAAAACTATACAAAAGAATTTAGTCATCCGTCCAGCACATCTGTTCATGATCTCTCTGGCTATTGTGCCAGAGAGACAGTCAATGAGCAGACGTTTTAGATTTAGTCACCTTCCGTGGTGCCAACATGGTGACTAGTCTCCAGGATGCTGCCCACAGTCACTGTGTAGAAATAGTACACACTGTGTTAATCAGTCTTTAGAGTTGTTGGTTTGCATGTTTTGAAAATACCCAGCCTCAAGTATTTGTGCTAAGCTAGGCTAACCAAGTCCTAACTCCAACTCTGTAATTAGGCACTTTCACCAAACTGTTGACATATTCTCTTAAAAGATTTACATAAAATGAAAATGATTCTTTATCCAGGTTAGAGGCTATTGAGAGAGTATAGAGAGCTATTTAACACTTGTTTTAACAAACAAGATATTTCTTACAGCAGCTTTAACTTTTATTGGTAAAGCAGTTTCTCACCATTTTCTTAGATTTTCCTTATCATTATATCAGGTCTCACATATTCTCAAGTGACCCTTCCTAAGTCCCGCCCCTTTCTGCTCTGTGCTCCAATAACAGTTGAGTACGCCTTGGTCAGAACCTCAGTCAACTTCCTCTTTTCCCTTACTTAGATATGCTATGTGGTAGGCTAATCTATGTTAAAAGACAACCACATTTTGAAATTAGTTAAAGGAAAGTTAAAAGCAACATATATAGTCACAACTTAAAGGTTCATTCATAGGTATGTTTTCATAAGTTTATAATCAACTGAATATAGCGATTGTGTTTTTGTTACCTTAGAATGAGCTGTTTATATCTACTGCCATGTTGAACTGCCATGTTTCTACCTTAGCCCAGAAGGGACAAACCAAACACTGACTCCATATAGGGGCATTAGCGTTTTCGTGTGTTTTACAGCCACAGCAGTTTCTGCTTCACACTTGGAAAGGGAGGGTGAAACATTGGAGGTGCGACCTGAAACTACACCGCTAGATAACAAGCTAACCAGATAGCTAATTTACATCAATCGTTAGCTAACTAATTAATTAGTGTCTTGCTAACATTAGCTAGATGTGAATATATGTGTTGCTTTTTAACATAGACTAGCCTAGCACATAGCATATCTAAGTGAGGAAAGGAGAAAGTTGACTGAGGTTCCAAAATGAGTCTGTTCATTTATTTTTAACTTGTAATTTTTTATTTAATTTAAGTGCTATGGTGATACAGTATAGCTTATGTTCACATTTTCTGTTTATTGCACCTTTTGTTCCAGGAAGTGTGTTGAAATGTCAAACAACTCTACCTTGTGTGAACAAAGCAGCAGACCAGACCTGGCCATTCAGCACTTATCATCCCACAGTGCTAAATGTCTGTACATTAATACTTTCTGTATTTCTCTTTTCCCAGCTGATTCTGTGGAAGAGGCACAAAAATGGCTGATAGGACTAGAACTTCTAAGGCAAGAGACACTGGTGGCTCCGACTCCAGTTCTCATAGAGAGGTAGACAAACGCGCACACACACAAAAACAAACACATTCACAGTTATTAGTGTTAAAGACTCATCCAATCATTGATCTCTGTGTTATTTTCCCTCCAGTTGGCTGAGGAAGCAGATGTATTCTGTCAATCAGACCAAAACAAACAGGTACTGTATATAGATATATATGATGTGGTTACTCATACCAGCTCTCTCACATTCAATAACGCATCTTGCCTGCATTAAAGATCATATTAATAATAACCAGTGTAAGAGGATTCCAGACAGGTTTTTTGTGTGTCTTTCCCAGCATCTCCATGAAGGAGCTGAAGGCTCTGCTTCCTTTGCTCAACTACAAGGTCCCCAGCTCTCGAGCTCTCAAAGACAAATTCCAGGTAGTCTTCTTTCCTTTTATTTATGCCACATATCCTCATCATTGTTGTGTGTAAATAAATCTAATGAATTAATTCATATTTTTTATGTTTTATCTTACACACCTCTTTCTCTCTGGACTTTGAAATATGACTCTATGATTAAGCCTAAACCTACTTAGATAATATAAACATAGACGACTGGTGCATGCGTTTTATTTAATGATGACCGATTAGACATGATTTACTTTCTATAGGTGCTGTTGCAGTGTTATTGAGTGCTTTTATGTTGGGCTTTCACAGGAAGTGGGAGCAAAGAAAGACCGCCTGGACTTTGAGCAGTTTCATAAATTATACAACCATATAATGTTCGAACAGAATGAGGTGAGTCTGAATTTATCACATTAAAGTAACTGTATGTATTATTGCACATATTGTTTTTCAGCATATTCATTCATTATTATTTTTTAAACTCAGATCCTTGATGAGTTCAAAAAGGAATCATGTGCTTTTATTCTGGGGTAAGCTCTTGTTTTTTCTCGTCTTTGCTGAGCACTTGGTCTTGACGCATCCAAAATTAGTGACAGTTTTTAAAGATAGTTTGTGGTTTGTCAATGTTTGTCAGCATGGTTTGACTGTGTGTTTGCTCTCTTACATTAAACAGTAACACAGACAAACCAGATGCCTCAGCAGTTCTGCTCCATGACTTTCAGCGGTTCCTTATCTACGAGCAAAAGGTAAAATAATCTACAGTGAAGGATTAGTACACCAGACAGGAGAGATGTTGTAACTTGCCATGTTTGTTACAGTAGCCCAGTACCGTTTTTCAGGTGCTTCGCAACCACCATAGTTTCTGCCTTGTGCTTGGAAGGGGAGGGTGAAGCGAGTGAGTTGCGATGTGCAGTTTAAGTTTGAATTTTTAGCTTAGGTTTTATGGCCAATGATTTGAGGTAAAAAGACTAGATTTGGAAGTACTTGTTTGCAAATATACTATGGGACAGTAATAAGTATCTTTGTTGTATTAGAGTTTGATCAAAGATTAAACTAAATAAACGTTTAAATGATTTGACATCCAATTTTTGACATCTGCTAGATATTCCTGTAGGAAAGGACCTGTAGTGTACCAAGGTCAGTGGGCTTTATAAGATAGTTATTGTTCAAGTTCAAGATGTTTATTGTTCATATGCACAAAAAAAAGCAAGGTTTTCCTCTGTGGCAATGAAATTCTTTCTTTGCCTCCAACCTGGATACTGACCGCATTAAGTACAGTAGTAGAATACAATAAGTAACAATACAACACAATATAGAATAGATAAAACCACAAATATACAATAATACAGTAGGTAAAAAAAATAAAAAAATAAAAAACTCAATATTACAGTAATTTTAAAAGTGTCTGATGGCAGTAGTGCAATGGAATGCTTATTGGGATGTGCAAAACAGTTGCGCAAGAGCGTAGTTGTAAACAGAAGTACAGGTGTAAGGTGACGAGGTAGACTCCTGTCAACTGTTCAGGAGTCTGATTGCTGCATGTCATCAGAATAAATGTAATGAGATGCCATGGTGGCAAAAAAGTAGTCCCCAGAATTGACCCCTGAGGTACTCTAAACCCAGTTCAGTCAGCCAACTCACGTTTGAAATGTTTATTATAGCAGTATAGCATATTTAGATTTTGGCGTCTAGGCTCCGACCTCATCATCTCCCGCAGATACGTTTACATAGAGATATTTGGGAGTGATGCGCAAATACCTTAACCCTAGCCGGACCCTAACAGGTGGATGTCATGTGTGTATAAGAGCGCAGCTCGAGTTGACTGCCTGAACTAGCTCGCAGGCTTCGTCCATTTGTGGCCGATGAACTGGTTTAAGCGGAGGCCAGAAATTCTGACCTCAAACTTTAAATAAACAAATTACAATTGTCATTATAATTTGGGTATTGGTTTCACTGTTTCATTCTTTCTTTTTTTGTGTGTTTAATTTACATCGTAATGCATTCTGTTTTCCTATGTAATATCTTAACCATTGTCATCAAATTATAAGTAGATCATCCACAATTATATCCCACATCTACTTTAATGTTTGGTTTTATTTTTTTTTAAGACTGAATGAAAAGAAAAAACAAACAAAAAAATATGTTCCTGTAAAGGAAAAACTTTTTTTGTGATTTTAGAAGACAGACAAAAGGTCCTAATGTTCTTTTTGAGAATTTAAATGAAACATTAAAGGTATATAAATAGTCTGATTGGAACAATAATTTGTGTCTGATGTGTTTTTTCCACAAAAACAGTATAATGTTTAAATCCTTAAACAGTAATCTCCTCCTTCTACCTCATTAAAACTTCCAGAATCTCTGAATATGCAAATATTGTTGATTTCTAAAGTTTTCCTGCTGGACACAAGATTTAGTATTGTTTTCTCTCTTCTTCTGTGTCCCTTCTACCCTCAGGAAACCTGGGCCAATGATCTGAACCAGGTCAGAGAACTGATGACCACCTTCATTGACGACACCATGAGGAAAACCAATGATCCAGAGTTCACCGTCAGCGAGGTATTCTGCTCTGTGCCTGCATGCATTATGTGTACATGAACCTGCAAAGATATAACAGGCAGGCCACTTTATGTAGAATGTGTTTTCATTGACATACAGTTAAGTGACCATGAATTTGGTGTTAAGAGTAGGATAAAAATCATGACTGCTGAAATCTTTGTTGTTTGTTATATTTGAAGTTGTATCATTACTAAAATGAATCACACAAGTAACATAAAGAGGGATCTCCTCTTCTAGTTCCTCAGTTTCCTGTTTTCCAAGGAGAACTCTGTGTGGGACGAGAAGTTCTCAGAGATCAGCAACCTGGACATGAACAACCCTCTCTCTCATTACTGGATCAACTCCTCACACAACACGTCAGTATGACTCCACACACACATATACACACACACACACACACACACACTAAACAAATAATAACAGAACTAATGTAAAACTTCTAAGAAAAGCAGAATCCCAATTAGAGGCAGGTCTCCTTTACTAGCTTGGTGTGGCTACATGTAAGTAAGTAAGTAAAGCTTTATTTATATAGCACCTTTTTGACACCAAAGTGCTTTACAAACAGCAAATAAACATAAGGGCATAACCATACCCAATCAAACAAACATAGGGAGCATGTAAATACAAACATAAGGAAGATAAAACAAGAGGGAAGGATAAATTAAAAGAGACACGACAGATGAGAAAACAAACAAGGAGATCTATAAAAAGGCTTGCCTGTAGAGGTGGGTTTTGAGGAGCCGCTTGAAACAGTCCACAGATTTAGTGATTCTGAGACTATTCCACAATGTTAGGGCTAAAACAGCAAAGGCACGGTCACCTTTAGTTAGTTAGAGCGGGGAATGTGTTGACAAATGAACTCAGGTCCCCATTAGAAGCCTGGTCTGGATTTTATAGAAAATGTATAAAACCTAGTAAAACCCACCAAGTCATCCGCTTGAGTGAGTTCTAAGCTGCTTAGATCGCCTACAGAAATACAAATGTTTAAATGTTTTTTAGCAATATGGACTTGCTACACTGTAAGGGTCCACCGATTAAAAGAGTTGTGAATATTGTCATGTGAGGTCTGTTGCTCACTATTTATGTGCTGGTTGCCATAAATCTTTAGCTGGCATAAAATGATGTGAAGTGTCACGGCAAAGAGAAAAAAGTACAACTTGAAATTCAAGTTGTTTTTAAATTTGTTTTGTGTTAAAATGTGCCTGTCCCCAATAAAGGCAGGGTGATTTAAGCTAGTAAATGCCTGGGCTATTATATCTAGTCTTACTAGATTTATTATTATTATTATTATTATTATTATATAAGTTTTACATGTTGTATATGGAGTAAGGTGCGTCATACTCATCACTTAAGAAGTGACTGACACTGTTTGTGTTGGAAAAATATGGCTTTTTAATAATGCTACTGCAATTGAATTTTGCTATTAGCTGATCTGGAGACATATGGAGACTAGACATATATGGTTGCAGGTTTTGTCACCAGCCAACCTCCCCTCCCCACCTGTTCCTGTAAAGCCTCTCTCAACTGCAGCCTGCTACATAGCCATAGCCTGACACTCCACCACAGACACTAGAGAGTTAGCCTCTTTGAGTTGCTAGTTTAGCTAAAGTTGCAACACAGGTACCACACAGAAACTTCTACAAATGGCCATGTATGTGCATCTAGTAACTGTTAAAGCTCTAGTGAACTCTCTGTTATTCCAGCACGGCCACTGAGCCAGCAGCTGATAATGGTTGGTTAGCTGGGTTAGCTTTGAGCCATTAGCTTAGCTAAATTTACAATACAAGTATCACATAGAAACTTTTCCAAACGTCCACGAATGTGCTTCTAGTGACTAAAAGCTCCAGGGGACTCTGTTTCCAGACGTGGAGAGTCTGACAGCAGCAGCTCATGGCTAATTAGCTCAGTTAGCTCTCACTACTGGGAGAATACATGTAGCTTAGACCAGTGTTTTTTGGCAACCTAAAAGTTAATGGCTTATACCTGGTTTATTATTTAATTGATTAGTCAATTATATATTAACATGAATAAAGCCATTAGTTACATATTATAAACCCTTTATTAGAAAATGATACCAGATGTTGTACCAACTAGCAAAAACAGGACCAAAACATATGGTTTTAATTTTGTGAAATATGTATAATTAGCATGTCTGTTGTTTTTTGTGTTCAACAGCTACCTGACGGGTGATCAGCTTCGCAGTGAGTCGTCCACAGAGGCTTACGTACGCTGCCTGCGTCTGGGATGCCGCTGTGTTGAATGTCAGTATATATATATAACAGCCTCATTGTTCTACACTTAGATCATGGATGTATTCTATTTCACATTTGGCACTTACATTAACAGCATTGGTTTCAGTTTAGGCCATTTTACATAAATCCAAATGTCAGTGGGGGTGGCAGAGAGATTAATAACACATTTTATATCTACAACACCTGTTTTTGTGTTTGTGGTGCTGAATCTGTCCAGTGGACTGCTGGGAAGGGCCTGGGGAACCAATCATTTACCACGGCTGGACCAGGACGACCAAGATCAAGTTTGAGGATGTGGTCAAAGCCATTAACGATCACGCTTTTGTCACTTCGGAGTAAGAATCACCAAAAAACTCACTATGACAGTGACAACATTATGTCCCCCCCCCCTTTATTTACAACTGGGCAGGTGCCCTTGTTGCCAATAGATAGGTAAATGGAGCAGCATCCAGGTCTGAATGGTTATATCACTGGTTAAATAAAAGTAAAATAAATAAATAATAAATTAAAAGTAGTGCAAGGATTTGTGTTTCCCAACAATTTTTTTTTTAATTAAGGATAATGTAATTATACTACTTCAGGCCCCTTCTTCTGGTACTTTTTTCTTTTTTTGTCATTTCTGTCAAACACATTTTGGTAACCATGCGTCTCTCTCAGGTACCCAGTGATCCTGTCCATAGAGGAACATTGTCCTTTAGAGCAGCAGCGTCAGATGGCTCGTATCTTCAGAGACGTGTTTGGAGACAAACTGCTGACTGACCCTGTGGAACAGATGGCTGAGCAGTTACCTTCACCTACACAGCTGAAAGGCAAGATCATACTCAAGGTACTGAGTGTGTGTGTGTCTAGCATAATGATGTGTCAGTGGAACTGGTATATCACTGAGAAGAGTTTTGTTCTGTTATGTGTCATCATTATTAACGGCCATGTCTGTGTTGTCTATGTTGTCTTTGTTGCAGCACAAGAAGCTCACTGTGGAGGGAGCAGGAATCAGTAAAGACTTCAGGAAGGGGCAGAAACAGGGAGACCTGGAGATGTGGGACCCTGTGGATCAGGTACTGGTAGAGGGGTCAAATAGGTATGGAAAGGTTATAACTTGTACACAAAACTCCGTATGCACTGCCAACAAAAGTCAGGTGCTGGTGGACTATGTAGTAAAACATTAAAATTAACCACCACACACTGGAATGACTTCACTGTGATTTATTCAGGAGCGAACAATGTATCTGTAGGTATGGAAAGGTACCTGAGCGTTTAACCCCGATATTCCACCAGATACAGCCACGACACTCTCCGGCTCTGCCATAGTCCGTCTCTGTTGAGTTCTAGGCAAAGCTTTAAATTCCACCAGAAGGGTCTCACAAGCTTCTTTCCGCTCTGCTCTGTGTAGAATACGAAGCTGGTCTATTTCTGACGAAAGCCATGACCCACATACGTCAAGCAGCACAGAGCAGATTGCACAGGCCGGAAGTCACACACAGATGAGCATAGAGAATCCGGTCAATTTTCAAAATAAAATACAGCGTGCAGACTCCGGATTGAATTTCACACTACATCAACAATGTTGCACCAGGCCAGAAGTCAGTAAAGTTCATAACTTTAACTCTTACACCTGCTGAATTTATGTGCAATGGTAATATTTCAAAGCCTCAGGGGTTGCCGCTTGGTGTTAACTTGTGCTTCCTAACCTAAGGTCCATGAGTATGGAAAATAAATGGACTATCCATATATATTAGTTATCTGACATTTGGGTGTGTTTTTTTGCACAGTAAGTGAAGTGAGGCTCTTCCTGCTGCAAAAGCAAAGGAAATCTACAAATGCCTCAAGAGAATAAATGAACCTGATGGAAATTACGCATTTATAATTTACTGAGCTGAGAATTAACAGTGTGCACAACCATCTAGCAGCTGCAGCTATAATCACTTATTACACAATTAATTAGACTGCTGTAGTGTAACCTAGAGCCAGGGTCTGTTTGAGGTTTTGCCTCTTAAAAGGAAGTTTTTCCTTGCCACTGTTGCTAAGTGCTTGCTCATGGTGGGAACTGTTGGGTTTCTTTGTAAGTGAGTGATGGTCTAGACCTGCTCTATTTAAAAAGTGTCCTGAGATAACATTTGTTATGAATTGGCACTATACAAATCAAATTGAAGTAAAGTGTGTCAGTGATAGCTAATGCAGTGCAGTTTTGTGTCAAGGATGATCAGAATTTGTTCTTGTGTCGCCTTCCTGCTCAGACTTGTTCTGTGTTGGGAGGGGAAAAAAACCTCCTATTGTGAGACAACATCCTCTCAAGTGGTGATAATCACTGGCGCCGGAATAGGGTGACAACCAGACTTTTTGTCCCCCCACTTTCAGGTGCGTCTACTCCATGCTCACGACTATGTCTGCGGCTTAGAGGACCTAAGACATCTATTGGCACCATGTCATGCTAGCTTGTTGGGAAGAGGGCTAAATAACACTCCAAAGTTAGCGTTAGCCTCCGAAGGCAAAACATTTGTGGTGGGAAAACTGACATGGATGTTTTCTAAAGAGATCCCTCGACCACTGACTTCAAGATATCTGAATGACAATGGGCCTATAGATTACCACAAGTCTCCCCTTTACAGAAATGTCTACTTTATGCTAATCCCATGCGGTTTTGGGCAAAAAACATGCACTTTTTTGTATGCAGTGGAAATGTGCTATTTTTGCCTATTGTTTGAATATTTTTTGCATAAACACTATTTGCATTTTGTGTTTGCATAATTTGGGTATGACCAGAAAGCTGATATTCTTGTTGATTCAATGAACCCAACAGTATTCATGTGTGATGATGTTCCTCCCCATTTTTTGAAACTTGACCTCACTGTAGAAAATGAGCTATTGTGACCTCTAGGATAATCACAGCCTCAAACTGTACAACCACAAACTAGAAACCAACAGCCTTTAGAGGATGGATGGCTTTCCCAGCTATATTCAAGCCACTGATGAAAAACAGTAGGCTAGGCTGAGACTCAAAGGAAGTTGACATGAAAAAGTTCACTAACGTATTACATAATCCAAAGATGGATGCCCCCGGACTTTGAAACTTATTCTGGCACCCCTGGTGATGATGTGTTAGAGATGTAGTAGAGCTTTGACCAGGCCAAAAAAATCATGTCCAAACCAACCTGATCCCAGAAGAAAGATAGATAGATCCCGAGGGAAATTCAAGTATTTATTACAAGAAGGAATTCTATGTGAGCCCTAACCGAGCCTGCACCATGAAGGCAGTTTTGGGCCCGAGCCCAACCCAAACCAAATTTGTTCTTTAAAAAAAAATATTGAAATAGTTTGAGTAAACTACGTTATACATATAACATTGTACAAAATCAGGCAGAGAATCAAAGCTCTAATGTTTTGGTGTCATCATGATTAGGCAATATACCTTTTTATGCACCATCTGTAAATAGACAAGAAACAGCCAAGACTCTGTATGATAAATTAACACTTCTATTCATACTTTGGTTTGACTAAAATTCCCCAGTTATGTTTCTGATTTTTTACTAATGTTTTAGAGCTATAAACACATATGGAAGTTATTGAAGCTTTAGCAATAGTAGCATAAGTAGTTCCAGTCTTATACCTCTGCTGATCCTACAGAGAGATATCAACCTCATTATGTGAATTATGAGGTTCATTGTTGGGATTTCCTTGTTGATAAAGAGAAATAATTTATATTTAAACTTCAGTGAGTAATTTTAGAATTAAAACTATTGCATGTTGCTCTGAAAGGCTGAAGTTAAACATGCACATTCTCATTTCTATTTCTCAGCGGTGGAACAGGCACTACTGTGTGATCTCTAATGACAAGCTGTACTACGCAGAGGAGTATGAGCAGGAGGAAGAGGATCCAAAGAAGGTAAAAAAGAGAGAGGAAAGTTTACCAGCAAATTTGTGTCGCATTGTTTTATATTTTAAATCAATTGACTTTAGGTGGTCCACAAAAGCAGTGTTGTTGTCGTCTTTCTCAGTACCAGGACCTGCACATTTCGGAGCCATGGTTTCATGGTCGCATGAAGGAAGGCAGGCTGATGGCCGAGCGACTGATCCAAGATTACTGTGCGGAGACTGGGGGAAGAGATGGCACCTTCTTGGTCCGAGAGAGTGATACCTATGTGACAGACTTCACCCTCTCCTTCTGGTACAACATCCAATTTCTTGACTTAATGGCCAGACCAACCAAAAACACTGTAGAGAAAAACACCCCAAGGCCATGAGCTGACATGTGGAACGTCCAAACTTAAAAATATTTGTGCCAAATTGTGTGATATATTTTAATTATATGTACATATCTGTAAACACACGTCTCCTGCGTGTATTTCAGGCGCAGTGGGAGGGTCCAGCACTGTCGTATTCGCTCAGGCTCAGAGGGGGGCCACACTTTCTACTACCTGACGCCAAACCTACACTTTCCCACCGTGTACTCCGTGATCCAGCACTACAGAGACAACCCACTGCGCTGCCAAGACTTTGAGCTGCGTCTCACCGATGCTGTACCACAGCCCAACCCACATCTACATGAAAGGTATGTCATATATGAGGCAACACGATGTCACAGAGAACTGGATACACATGCTAAAAATCATTATACAATGTAAGCTAGTGGTTCATTATGATACGTTAATACCATTTTGGTAAATTTAAACCAGATATACAGTATGTTTATCCTTTACATTTACCATATTTTTTATACTTGAACTGTAAGCGAATAATGCATCCACAAACAGTTAAAATTATTATTTGAATTATTAAGACTCCCATAGAGAAAACGCAGTCTTAGATACCCAATGTCTGCTAGACCTTTCTATGCTCTCAAAGTAATCAGTAGGATCTTAAAATCAATTCTAAATGTTACTGGTAGCAGTATGTGAGGTGCCTAAATTCTAGCATTCTGTACCTGTTGGCAATGTGAGATTGATTTTTGACTGAGGTAGGTATAGAGAGAGTTGCAATAGTCTAGACGGGATGAAATAAAAGCAAGAATTACTTTCTGATAGATCCTTGCCACCATCACCAAGACCTTGCTCATGGTGGGAACTGTTGGGTCTCTGTAAATCATTTTATAAGGAGTACGGTCTAGACCTGCTCTATTTGTGTGTCCTGAGATAACTTTTGTTATGTATTGCTGCTATACAAATAACATTTAATTGAACTGAATCAGCACATGATAAAAATGACTTTTGATATATTTCTGATTTGGAAGAATCAGAACTGATCAACTCTCTTTACCTGCTCATCTATTAAAGTCCATCCGATGAGGTTGGCAGTTCAGCTAAAGAGGGCAAATGGGCTGTTGCCCGGGCACCTTTAACCTGGCCTTGCTGGCATTGTTATATCAGTTTGGTACAGCTTAACCTCTTTACTAGATGCCTTCTTTTTTCACATTTCACTTTCACACTCATACACCCACAGAAGCACAGTTACTTTTTCACTTCTCTCTTTCTTTACTGGCATGATAGGAAAAACACCTCTTCTGCCAAAGCATAATATTGTGTCACAATTTTAATAACTATCTTCTCATACACACACTTATCTGTCTTTGTTTGTGTATGTGTGTGTGT